TGAGTCGTGCAGGGGGCGATAGGCCGGCCCGGGAGGGGTGGGGTTAGGGGGCCCAGGCCAGCCTGGGGAGGTAGCAGGAGGCCTGGCGCCAGCAGCAGGGGTCGGGCCCGCACTCACCAGTGGGAAGCGCGCGTTGTATTTCTTTTTCTTGCTCGCCCACTGCCAGCATCCTAGCGCCGCTGGAACATGCCAGCGCCAGGGTGACCCCATCCATTGCCCTTCCTCCCCGGACCCCTTCCTTTTGCAGGACCCCCCAGCACAGGGGGCCCCCTCACCCCTAACATAGGTGCCACCCTGTGACTCTCCATCATCCCTCGCCCCCCTGCACTGGTGTCCCCTCCCCACACCAGATTTCACCTGTATAGAAAACGTTAAGGGAGGCCCATACAGGCTGATTTGTCCCAGGCCCCACACCCCGTAGGGATGGCCCTGCCAGAGCCCACACCCCCAGCTGGAACCCTCATCCTGCCTACCCCAACCCTGAGCCCCTCATCCCTGGTCCCACCCCATAGCCCACACTCCCACCCCAGAGCCCGCACCCCGACCCTCTGCCCCAGCCCTGAGCCCCCTCCCACACTCCAAACTCCTTGGCCACACCCCCGACACATGAATTTTGTTATGTGCACCAATACGAAGATGATGTGTCACACATCACCTCCATACTGGTGCACATAACAAAATTCATTCCACACATAAGTGGGAAAAATTAGAGGGAACACTGCCCCTCGCTCACAGTCTCTTTGCCTCAACTTCCCTCAACACCTGTTCCATTCTCTCCCCCGCTTCCCTTCAGCTGATCCCCTAACTACACCCACCAGGAAAGAACACCAGGGCACTAACAAGCCACTTGCTGCCATCACATAGTTCACTGGGCTTGTGTGTTCCATTCCTACTCCCGACCCAGTGGCTGTCTGGTCTATTTAGACTATACGCTCTTAAGGGCAGGGACTATCTACTACTCTGTACAGAGCCTCGGGCAATGGTACCCATTCTCAGCTGACCCTTTGGCATTACCATAATAAACACAATTAATTAAAAAAAGACTCTTAGGTGAGAGCCTTGAAGCTAAAACTCATGGCAAACTGTTTGGGCCAAGAACAGGATCCTTAGGGCAGGACGAGGGAGGTGCTTACACAGAGCCAGACGGGATCCAGGGCTCGTGAGGGTGTGGGCTGCATTGAGGCACTAATGCCACAGCAGCAAATCCAGGAGGTTGCTCAGCAATTGTCACCTCGTAGCTGGTTGGGGATGCCCACCCACATAACTTCCCCCTGGGAGCCCTGGCACCGGGTGGGGTGGGCGCTTCTAGGAGGGGGAGCCGGCCAGGCCAAAGGTCTCACCGATTCCCTGAAGCCGTCGTACTTGTAGACGTGTCCATTCTTGGTGAGCAGCTTGAGGCCGTGGCCTAGTGCCACCCGGCGCCAGATGCCCTCCGCTAGCTCTGAGGCCTGGATGTTGTCCACCTTGCCCGTCTTGCTGTTCTTGAAGATGACGCCCTGGCGGCTCAGCCGCAGCCGCCCATCATTCTGACAGAGAGAGACAGGAGTTGGTAGGGGGCACAGGAACAACACTCCAAGAGCTAAGTGCACACGCTGGGGAGAACAACAGTGGTGACTCTCTGGAATGGTGTCAAAGAATACACCCGGAACCCCACATCAGCCAGCAACACTCTTCCTCCTCCAGGGAAAAGGCTACTTAACACCCATCCCCATGGATGTAAAACAGAAACCCCACCATCTCTCCTCTCCCACGCAGGGGTGCACGCACCCCATATCCAACTAACACCACTAAACCCACCCCAAACACCCTCCCTCACCCTCATGCAAGCTTCACTCCAAGATCCCCCCACCTCCCACTTCAACTACCCCTCATGCATCACAGGGCCATAGCGCCAGCTCTCCAGTTTAAGTCAGCCAGAGTGGCACCGTAAAGCCTTTATTCGCTTTAGCTAGAGGACTGACTGGCCACTTAGGACCAATAGCCCAATCAAGGGCATTTCATAGATGTAGGGACAACATTCCCCAGTGTAACCATCACAAGCAATAACCAAAGATTTGGATTTCTTGCCATGAGAACCGATTCATTTATAAAGCTCAGGGCACCATGCACCTTCGCTGTAAACTGGCAAACACTCATGTCTGCGAATAAAAAGAATCTTGCATTGCATTTTCTGAATGGCTCCCAAGGTTCAGCCATTCCGGCTAGGGCACGCATCAGTTCCCACAGCACTTGGTGACACCGCGCAACAGTTTAGAACGAAATGCAAGGAGTCTGCTCCCTGAAGTCCAACAGGCTGTGACCTTCGGTCAGCTGAGTGTTACCAACCAGAGCAGGAATGCAGCCAAGACACTGGCGCTAACTCCCCAACACCCAGGAAAGTGTCACTGGATCTTTAATGCCTACGGGGGTCTGGCCGTGTTTTGTCTCATCAGAATGATGAAGCCCTGCTCTCCTAGCCTGCGGCTTGATCTGTGGGCTCCGTAATGACTCAGGGAAAAAGCACACCCCCTCCCCCAAGTCACTTACAGCTTCTAGGTTTTACTTTGGGGTGGCACTCCAGCTGTGACCCCACTTAGCTTGAGAGCTGTAATGAAAGCGGAACCACAGTTCAGCACCTTGTCTCAGCCCTAGATACACCACTCCACCAGCCACAATAACGACACCTTCCCAGATTCTCTGCTTCCCACCCCCAGGAAGGAATGGCTTTCCAGGTTTCCTGCGTCTCTCACCATGGACCCCTTCACCTCCTGGTATATTTCGTTGAACTCCAGCGTGTCCGCCATGATGGCCCCTCCCCACCTCGCCCACTCTCGTGTGGTCTGTCTCCCAGCAATGGGTTTGGGAGAGCTTTGGAGACAAGGTTCAGTCAGGAAGCTCTCCAGAGATGAAGAAGTTCTTCAGTCCCCTCCCGGGTCCCGCATGCCCGGGGTATACAGAGGGGAGGAAGCTGCAGCTAGGGTGAGTGTCAAAACAGTGAAGCACCTGGAGAGGAGAAGAGAGACATGACCCCACCAGTAGGATGAGGCCCAGCAGGGAGCCAACTCAGGAGCCCCCAGAGACTGAACCCATGGGGTAGCCACAGAGTAGATACAGGGGCAGGCTCCCACCCACCCAGTGAGCCTCACCCAGTGGGGCCTGGGGTGCTGGAGAGCATTACAGAGCTCTCCAGGGACTGGAGGCTGAGCCCCAGCAGAAGGATCATACAGAACCCTCCCCATCCCTATCTTCACCCCGCCACCAGACCCTCCTAGAGCCCGACCCCCTCCCTGCCCCAGGACCCCCTGCCCCATCCTTCCACAGACACCGACCCCCGGGCCCTGCCCCAGGCACGGATACACACCCACCCTGAGCCAACCTCCCCAGACACCGACCCTCCCCACTCCTCTCATCCTCGCCCCAGAGACCGACCCCCCTGCCCTGCCCCAGGACCCCCTGCCCCAGACACCAACCCCCTCCCTGCCCCAGAACCCCCTGCCCCAT